AAGGTCAGGGGGACGGGGAAGGTCAGGGGGGAGAGGGAAGGTCAGGGGGACGGGGAAGGTCAGGGGGAGAGGGAAGGTCAGGGGGACGGGGAAGGTCAGGGGGGAGAGGGAAGGTCAGGGGGACGGGGAAGGTCAGGGGGAGAGGGAAGGTCAGGGGGACGGGGAAGGTCAGGGGGGAGAGGGAAGGTCAGGGGGGACGAGGAAGGTCAGGGGGGAGAGGGAAGGTCAGGGGGACGGGGAAGGTCAGGGGGAGAGGGAAGGTCAGGGGAGGTCAGGGGAGGTCATGAAGGGACCGTGACAAGCAGGCAGAGCTTGGGGCCCTCAGGTTCTGGTCTTGGCAGTGTCCTTGGGCCGTGTGGACGGACCCCCAGCCCGAACCTGAGCCCGGAGTGAAGGCTGCACAAGGTACCAGAGTGGCCGGGGTGCGGGGGGGGGCGGCCGGGGTGCAGGGGGGGCGGCCGGGGTGCAGGGGGGGGTGGCTGGGGTGTGGGAAGGGGGGGAATGGCGGCCGGGAGGGGGAAGGGGAGGCTGGGGTGCAGGAAGGGGGGAGGGGCGGCCGGGGTGTGGGAAGGGGGGGAATGACGGCCGGGAGGGGGAAGGGGCGGCCGGGGTGCAGGAAGGGGGGAGGGGCGGCCAGGGTGTGAGAGGGGCGGCCGGGGTGCAGGGGGGGGTGGCTGGGGTGTGGGAAGGGGGGGAATGGCGGCCGGGAGGGGGAAGGGGCGGCCGGGGTGCAGGAAGGGGGGAGGGGCGGCCAGGGTGTGAGAGGGGCGGCCGGGGTGCAGGGGGTGGCGGCCGGGGTGCAGGGGGGTGGTGGCTGGGAGGGGGAAGGGGCGGCCGGGGTGCGGGTGGGGGGGGTGGGGGGTGGCAGGCCCAGTGTGAAGTCGGGGCGGCGGGGCTGGGAGAACAAACGCCCGGGCTGCAGCTGGCAGGTTGCGGGGTGCCGGCTCTGTTTTCCACAAACACAGATGGGCCGGGAGGGGGCCGGCGGAATGTGCCCGTTCTGATGGCTCAGCCCCGCGCGTGGGGCCAGCCCCAAGCCCGGCCGGGGGCGGCGCGGGGAGCAGGCCTGGGGGCCCCCGAGGCAAGGCCAGGGATGGGGCCTGCACCGAGGCACAGGGGCCGAGCCCCCCAGGGTGTGGGGGAGCAGCGGAGAGCGCAGGGGCCGCGGGGAGCCCCAGCCCTCCCCCCATGCGGGGAGACCCTGCCCGGCGCTCCTGAGCGGCAGCCAGACACAGCAGGCGAGGGAGTGGGCCGCCCCCACATTCTTCCTGAGCAACCTCTGACCTCTGGCCTCCCACCGGGCAGGCGGCGGGGCGGGCGGACTGGGACAGCACTGACCCGCCTGAGGCCTCCTCGCTGGGGTCTCTGTCCCCAAAGGCCCCGCCCCGCACGTGGGCCTCGGCTGGAGCCGGGGAGGCCGCACAGACTGGGGGGACGGCCCGGCTGACGGGGCCAGCGCCCCTCGGCCAGCCGCCGCTCCTGGGCCCCGCGGGCCTGGGCTCGGCCGGCCTCCTCCCTCAGTTTCCCAGCTGTAACGTGGGGGCGCTGGAGGAATCACCCCTAGGACTTCCTGTCCCTGGTTCTGGGGGTTCGGGGGCTTTCCCAGGATGTGGGGGACCCGCACGCTGGCACGGCCACCCTGTCTCCTTCCTAAACCTGAGCCCCTGGAGGCGGGCAGGAGCGCCCCCCGCCGGGCATAAGGGGCCCTGTGAGGGGGCCCCTGTGAGAGGCGGCAGGTGGGCCGTGGGCCCCCAGAGGACGGGCCCAGGACGCCCGGCCCAGCCCACAGGAATCCCGCAAAAGCGGGGCTCTGGCGCCCTCTGCTGGTCACACCGGGAACAGACCGCCGGGGACAGACGCCGAGTGGGGACGCTCGCTGGACACGGTGCCGGCCAGGGTGCAGCCTGGGTTCTGCCGGGCCCTTCGCCAGCAGCCAGGCCCCTGGTTCCGGATCCCACTCCCAGGCGGCCCACCAGGCACTGGGCCCTCAAGGGCAGGGGCCCCGCGTGGCATCCCCACACTGACCCCTGTGACCCCCGGGCTGTTCAGGCCGGAGGGCAGAGCGGACGGTAAATATTCACCCCAACAGGAGGAGGCAAACACCGCCCCCCGCCAGGGGACAGGGCGGAGCAGGCAACCCGGGGGGCCTGCCTGGAGGCGGCCGCCCTGGCAGCCGCCCTCGGTGTGTGGGCACCAGAGCAGCAGCCGTCCTGGCCCTGGCTTAGCGTCCACGGGAGCTGGCGGGCCGTGTGGGACGGTGGGACCTGTGAGGGGGCCTCTGGGACCAGCTGCTCCTCCGCTCCAGGTGGCACGTGGCCTGGAGGCCTTGACCCGGCCGCCAGCCCCACGGGCCCGGGCGGCGGGGCTGGAGGACACGAGGGGCTGTTGTCCCGCCCCCAGAAGGGGCAGGCACAGGCCTGGGCTGGTGGCAGGGCCAAGGCCCACGAGCCTGGCACCTGCGGGGCGGCTGGGGGGCCCCTGGGGCTCGGAGCCCAGAGTCTAACCCCACCTCTGCCTCCAGAACCGTGTCCATGCTGGGAGCACGGGGAGACCCACCCGGGTTTTCAAGAGCAGTCAGGGGCCCATGGCCTGGCTGGAGGGTCACCCTTCGGGCCTTCTGTCTCTGATTCTGGGGGTTCGGGAAGGTCAGATTCTCACCGGTGCTTTCCCAGGAGGGGAGGGGGCATGGCCAGCCCAGCCTGGGGACCGAGGACCATGGCCCAGCACAGCCCCGATCCTGGGTGTCAGCCTCCCCGCCCTGCGGGGTGGCCCCGCTCTGGACGCCACGGGCCCAGTGCTCAGAGTCCCGCCCACAGCACGGGCCGTGTGCCCTGCACCCCAGAGGGCTCCGGCTCCCCCTCCTGGGAGGCCCTGGCACCAGCGAGGCCAGGCAGGACACAGGCCTGGCCCCCGGCGGCGCCCGCCCCGCCTGCCAGGCTCACGTACCTCAGCTCCCTCAGGACACCCCTGCCTGGCCTGGGGCGACTCCCGTGAGCAAGCCCTGGGTCCCAGCCACCACCACCACCTCCTCTTCCCCGTCCACTGTCTGCCGGCCGCCCCCTGCCTAGCCGCGGGCCCCACTCCAGGGCGGGGCCAGTGGGGGGCCAGTGCCGTGCCTCTGGGGGTGTCTATGTGGCCGTGGGGAGAAGGGGTCCGGGAGGGAGCCTCGGGGCTGTGGGGAGGACCGCGGGGTGGGGTTGGGGGCTGGGCCCCCACCACGAGGGTCTGGTGCGGCCGGCATGGGCAGGTCCTCAGGGAGGGCACCGATTGGCTTGGCCCAGTGGCCGGCAGGCTGGCCAGGCCTCGGTACAGTCAGGTCACCAGCTGACCTTCCAGGCCACGGGCACCCCGGCTCCTGGCACACCCCGCAGTGGCCAAGGGCGTGCCTGGTGCAGCTGCCCGGGCTGCATGGGTGCTGAGGGAGGTAAAGGCCTGGACCTCGAGGGACCTCGGGGGCACTTCTGAGGGTGATGGCCAGCGTGGGGTGGGGAACGTGGCTACACAGTGGGAGGAGAGGTGGAGGGGGTGGTCTGGCCTCATCCCGGGCTGGGGCTGGGGCTGGGGCTGGGGCTGTGGCTGTGGCTGTGGCTGGGGCTGAGGCCGGGGCCGGGGCTGGGGCTGTGGCTGAGGCCGGGGCTGGGGCTGGGGCTGGGGCTGGGGCTGGGGCTGGGGCTGGGGCTGAGGCTGGGGGCTGGGGCTGGGGCTGTGGCTGTGGCTGTGGCTGTGGCTGGGGCTGGGGCTGGGGTTGGGGCTGGGGCTGAGGCCGGGGCTGGAGGCTGGGGCTGGGGCTGGGGCTGAGGCTGGGGGGTCGGGGGGAACACAGCCCAATGCCCAGCGCGGGGCATCCCAGCCCGCCCCCTGACTCAGGGTGCTGCCCTCCTGCATCTCCCAGGCCCCGGGGTTCCTCCTGCCCGGCCTGGGCGGGGGTCCCCGAGCTGGGTGGTGAGGGTGGGAGAAAGGCCCCGTGTGGGCAGCATCTCATGCCCCCTCCCCTCTGGGCCCCTCAGGAACGGCCCGGAAACCGGCTTCTTGGGCTGAGGGCGGGAATACTCTCTGAATAACGGCCCCATCTGTTTCCCCCAAAACCCTGGGGCCCCAGCCGGGCCCCAGCCTCCCGAAGACAGAGACGCCCCTTCTCTGTCCCGTCCCGAAGCCGTGGGGCCGGGGTGCCCCAGGGACCAGGCCGGGGACACGGGGCTGCTGGAGGGCTGCCCCTGGGGCACGGGACGGCTGCCCAGGCTCCCAGTGAGCGGGGAGACCTCCGAGGGGCCGAGGCAGAGAGAACCGAGAAGGGGTCACAGGGTGCCACGCGGCAGCCCTGCCACGCCCCCGCCCCCTCCCGCCCACACCGCACAGACCACACGCACAAGGCTGGTTCAGGGTTTATTGGGTCAGGGGCGGGGCGGCCAGGCGGGGCGGCCAGGCGGGGGGGTGGGGGCCGGGCAGCTAGTTGCAGTAATTCTCCAGCTGGTAGAGCGAGCAGATGCTGGTGCAGCACTGGTCCACGATGCCTCGCTTCTGCTCCAGCGCCAGCGCCTGCAGGTCGCCCGCGCCCAGCTCACCCTCGCCCCCTGCCCGGGAGAGACAGGGAGGGGCTCAGGGCCGCCCGGGACCCCACCCGGGACCCCACCCGGCCCGGCCTACAGCCCTGGGAGAGGGCACTGCTGCAGGGCCACATCCCGGGCCGGCCCCCAGCCCCACAGCCTGCCCGCCCCCGGGCCCCACGGGCATTGCCAGGACCTGAGCCGGAGGTGACAGCTGCCGTCAGAGGCATGGGGAGCGGGCGGGGGTGTCGGAGGGGTGGACGGCGGGAGGGGATGGGCTCTCCCTCGGGGTCACCCACTCTCTGCCCCCGGAGCCGGCACTGGCCAGGGAGCAGGTCCCTTTAGGTGCGACCGAGGCCCGTCCTCCCCTTTCTGACTCGCACCGGCTTCCCGGCCAGCACGGAGAGGAGGGGTGGGGTGAGGGGTGGGATGGGGGCGATGGGCACTGGGGCTCACCCTGCAGCTCGGGCAGCGCCCGGCGGTCCTTGGGCGTGTAGAAGAAGCCCCGCTCCCCGCACACCAGGTACAGCGCCTCTACCAGGTGGGAGCCGCACAGGTGCTGGTTGACGAAGGCCTGGGCCGGGGCGGGCGCCCAGAGGGCCAGCAGGGCCAGCAGGGGCAGGAGGCGCGTCCACAGGGCCATGGCGGCGTCGGGGGCTGGAGCGGGGGGGGGGGCGATGCAGTGAGGGCCCTTTAGGTGTGACCGAGGGCCCGTCCCCGTGGGGCCCCGCTCCTGCTCGCCCTCGGTGCTCGCCCTCCGGGCTCTGAGGGCCTGTGCCCCAGGGGCCCTGCCCCTGTCGCCCTCGGTGCTCGCCCTCCGGGCTCTGAGGGCCTGTGCCCCAGGGGCCCCGCCCCTGCTCGCCCTCGGTGCTCGCCCTCCGGGCTCTGAGGGCCTGTGCCCCAGGGGACCTGCCCCTGCTCGCCCTCGGTGCTCGCCCTCCGGGCTCTGAGGGACTGTCCCGTCCGCAGCCCCTCCCGGGGGGCAGCCCTCCCTGCAGCCCAGAGTCCGGACCGACCTGCTCGCTGGGCCTGGGGTGCAGCGGGTCCTGTGGGTGCAGCAGGTCCGGGTCCGGGTCAGAGCGGCTGGGGGCTGCTGGGCACGGCCAGCTTTATACCCCCGGCCGGGCCGGGCGCTCCTGGGGGCGAGGGTGGCAGATGGCCCCGAGGCTGAGGCTGCACTTTCCGGGCCATTTGCCCCGCGGGCGGGCGAGCTGGGTACGCAGGAGGCCGCCCTGGTCGTCAGCACCTCGGGGGCCGTGGTCATTAAGGCCTTAACGAGGGGCCTGATGGCCGTGTCCGCCTCCCGGGCCAGGCCGCGTTTCCACATCAGTCCAGGGGGCCGGGGGGGGCCACGGGGGTCCTTCCTGCCCCGCCCTGAGCCCGCTCCTGTCTGCCCTCCAGGCCCCGGGGGGTCCGGCCGCAGGGCTGGACAGGAAGGGGCGGCTCTGCTCCAGGCCCAGCTGCCCCGCACGGCGGCTCCCCGTGGCCCCGGCGCCCGGGTGCTGGGGCGGGGGGGGGCTGGACGTGGGGACCAGTGCCCACGAGTCCAGGCTGGCCCGTCTCTCAGCCTCACCGGGGGCGGGGGGCGGGGGGCGGGGGGGCAGGGAGCAGGGCCGGGGAGCGGGGGTGAGGGCGGGGGACGGAGGGCAGGGCCGGGGGGCGGGGACAGCGCCCACCTGGGCTCTGGCCACAGGACTCCGTGGTGGGCTCAACCACGTCCCCACGGCTCCCAGCCTCTTCCCAAAGGCCCTGCCGTCCCCCCACATGGGTCCCCCACAATGACCTGCTAGGCCTGGCCTCACCCCATCGTCCCTCGTCGGTCCCGCAGGCCAAACTCCGTGGTGCCGCCGCCCTGACCCCACCCCCCGCTGCCTCTAACCCTCTCTGGGCACCGGGTCTCGGGGCCCCTCGCCGAGGGAGGAGGGAACCCCACCTTCCCGGCATCACCGTGCCCCATGGCCTCCGGGCCCGGGGACCCGGCCTCTGTGAACGGCCTGAGGCCGAGGCTGGACGGGAGGCGGGGGGGGCAGAAACCAGGGTCAGTCAGGCCGGAGGGAGAGGCTGGCCACCAGCCCTTCCCAGGGTTCCTGGGCCCAGGCTGTCAGAGCGGCCCTGGCTGGGCCCCCTGGGCTGGAGGGAGCGGTGCAGGCTGAGCAACGGGGTGCTGGGAGGTGGTTCTGGGAGGCGGGTGCTGGGAGGCGGTGCTGGGAGTTGGGTGCTGGGAGGCGGGTGCTGGGAGGCGGTGCTGGGACAGTTGGGGTGCTGACAGGCGGGTGCTGGGAGGCGGTGCTGGGAGGTGGTGCTGGGACAGTTGGGGTGCTGGCAGGCAGGCGGGTGCTGGGAGGCGGTGCTGGGAGGTGGGTGCTGGGAGGTGGGGTGTGGGAGGCGGTGCTGGGAGGCGGTGCTGGGAGGTGGTGCTGGGACAGTTGGGGTGCTGGGACAGTTGGGGTGCTGGCAGGCAGGTGCTGGGACAGTTGGGGTGCTGGCAGGCGGGTGCTGGGACAGTTGGGGTGCTAGGAGGCGGTGCTGGGAGGTGGGTGCTGGGAGTTGGGTGTGGGAGGCGGTGCTGGGAGGCGGTGCTGGGGACACAGCTGATGGAGGGACAGGCCCGGTGAGGCTGGGAAGGAGGCTTTGCCATGGGGACCTGACGGACAGGGTTTGCCGGGACAGACAGCGGAGCTCAGAGCCGCCCTCGGTGTGGCCGGGGTTGGGGGCGTGAGAGGCCAGAGAGGGGGCAGGCAGTCCCCTCAGGGGGGGAAGGAGACCCAAGAAGCCGGGTGCTAGAGGGGTCCTTGCCCAGGCCCCTCGGTGAGCGGAGGGCACTGACAGAGCCACCACCTGCTCCCCTCCCGCCTGCGAAGAGAGCTCCCCGAGAGCCAGGGCAGATGGGGGAGCACCCAGCTCCTGCTCTGGGTGGGGGGTGCAGGGGTCAGAGGCAGCCATGCCCACCTGCTCCCCCGGGCTGGCCCCCGAACCCCATCCTCCTCCACCTGGACGTAGAGACACCCCCATCCCCGCAATCGGCACAGCTGTGGCTCCCACCGCCACCCCAGGCGGCTGGTCCTCTGGAGCCGCTGGGCTCAGGCCGGGGCCGGGGGAGCCCCGTGCCGACCCCGGCTCCCCTGGACGCCTCCCTGGAGGAGGCGGCAGGAGGCCTCTGGGCCCGGGGACACGGACTCGGACCCAGGCTGGCACAGGCTTCTTCCTTTTATTCAGGTTGTGAGAGGGCAGCACACAGCGTGGGGGCACACGGCATCGGGGCACACAGCGTGGCGGGCAGCCAGTCAGGACAAGGACATCACAGGCAGAGCTGGGAGGCACAGTGGGGGCTGGCGAGGTGCCCTGGGGCAGGCAGGGTCTCTGGAGAGCTCACAGGGACAGGGGCAGGGGCAAGTTTGGGGTTGGGGCTGGGGCAGGGACAGGTTTGGGGCTGGAGCTGGGGCTGGGCAGGGGCTGGGGCAGGGGCAGGGTCTGGGGCTGGGGCTGGGCAGGGGCAGGGGCAGGTTTGGGGCTGGGGCAGGTTTGGGGCTGGGGCTGGGGCTGGGCAGGGGCCGGGGCTGGGGCAGGGGCAGGTTTGGGGCTGGGGCAGGGGCAGGTTTGGGGCAGGGGCTGGGCAGGGGCAGGGGCAGGTTTGGGGCTGGGGCAGGGGCAGGGGCAGGTTTGGGGCTGGGGCAGGGGCAGGGGCAGGTTTGGGGCTGGGGCAGGGGCAGGGGCAGGGGCTGGGGCAGGGGCTGGGCCGGGGCTGGGGCTGGGGCTGGGCAGGGGCTGGGCCGGGGCTGGGCAGGGGCAGGGGCAGGTTTGGGGCTGGGGCTGGGGCAGGGGCAGGGGCACGGGCAGGGGCTGGGCCGGGGCTGGGCAGGGGCTGGGCAGGGACTGGGGCAGGGGCAGGGGCTGGGCAGGGGCTGGGGCAGGGGCAGGGGCTGGGCAGGGGCTGGGCAGGGGCTGGGCAGGGGCTGGGGCAGGGGCAGGGGCTGGGCCGGGGCTGGGCCGGGCGGGGCTGGGCAGGGACTGGGGCTGGGCTGGGCTGGGCTGGGGCAGGGAGGGGCAGGGGTGGCCCGGGAGGCCGGGGGGCCCAGAGGGTCGGGAGCCCCAGCCCAGCCTGCCGGGCACAGGGCGTGGGCCCGCTGCCTCAGCCGAGGGTGCTGAGTGCGTGGGTGAGGCTGTGCAGCTCGTCCTGGACGCCCTCCAGCGCCTGGCGGACGGCCCGCGGGCTGTCCAGCACGTCGATGGCCTGTGTGTACGGGTCGAACTTCACGGAGAAGGGGCGCTGGATGCGGGAGGCGTAGCTCCTGGTGGCGGGCGGGCACCTCAGTCTCCGGGGAAACTCGGGGTCCGGGGGGGGGGACTCGGGGCCCAGGGGGAACTCGGGGCCCGGGGGGGGGGGGGACTCGGGGCCCGGGGGGGGACTCGGGGCTGGGGGGGGGGACTCAGGGCCGGGGGGGGACTCAGGGCCCGGGGGGGGGGGACTCGGGGCCCGGGGGGGACTCAGGGCCCTGGGGGGGGCCTCGGGGCCGGGGGGGGGACTCGGGGCCCTGGGGGGGGACTCGGGGTCCGGGGGGGGGGACTCGGGGCCCGGGGCGGGGACTCGGGGCCGGGGGGGGGGGACTCGGGGCCGGGGGGGGGGGGACTCGGGGCCGGGGGGGGGGCTTGGGCCCTGGGGGGATGGGGGAGACTCGGACACCGGTGGCGGGGAGGAGGAGCTGGGGCACGTGGGCCAGGTCTCGCCTCTGGGACACCCCGTCCCTCCCGGCTGCTCCTCAGGGCCCCGCTCAGCCAGTCCTCCTCCAGGGAGCCTGCCCAGGTTGCGCCCTGGAGCGTCCCAGTGAAGCCTGGGTCCTGAGCCTGTGTGGGGGCTCCAATCCCCCCTCCCACTCGCCGGCACACAGCTCCCAGCCTCAGCGGAGCCGGCCGTTCCCAGGATAAAGTCAGACTCTGCCCAGCTCCCACGGCGACCCTGCCCCAGGCCCCGGGACCCCCAGGCCCCAGACCCCCAGCCCCCAGGCCCCCCAGACCCCCCAGGCCCCCGGGCCCCCCAGGCCCCCAGAACCCCCAGGCCCCCCAGGCCCCCCAGACCCCCCAGGCCCCCGGGCCCCGGAACCCCCAGTCCCCCAGAACCCCCCGGCCCCCCAGGCCCCCCAGGCTCGGGCCCCCCAGGCCCCCGGGCCCCCCGGAACCCCCAGTCCCCCCGGAACCCCCGGGCCCCCCAGACCCCCCAGGCCCCCCAGGCCCCGGGACCCCCAGGCCCCAGACCCCCAGGCCCCCCAGGCCCCCGGGCCCTGGAACCCCCAGTCCCCCAGAACCCCCAGGCTCGGGCCCCCCAGGCCCCCGGGCCCCCCCGGAACCCCCAGTCCCCCCAGGCCCCCCAGTCCCCCCAGGCCCCCCAGGCCCCCAGGCCCCCCAGGCCCCCCGGCCCCCAGCCCTCCTGTGCACCCTCCTCACGGCCCCTGCGGCTCAGAGGGCGGAGCTGGGGGCCACACCTCCTCTTACAAAACCAGACTCCGCCTCCCGGAGTGAGGAGGGGAGGGGCCCAGCCCAGGTCTCCCCTCCCCAGACTGGGTGCTGCCTGGGCGGTGCCGCCGCGGGGCGGTCCCGTGTTCTCTGTGCCGGGGCTCCCACCTGAGCTTGTCCTTGGCGTCGCCGAAG